AAAATTGATCAGCCTGTTGAATCTAAAACACTCTGTGGAAATTGATTAGACTAAAATAATCTATAAAAATTGATCAGCCTGTTGAATCTAAAACACTCTGTGGAAATTGATTAGACTAAAATAATCTATAAAAATTGATCAGCCTGTTGAATCTAAAACACTCTGTGGAAATTGATTAGACTAAAATAATCTATAAAAATTGATCAGCCTGTTGAACCTAAAAGGGTGTATGAAAATTGACCAGTCTGTGTAATCTAAAACGGTGTATGGAAATTGACCAGTCTGTGTAACCTAAAACGGTGTATGAAAATTGACCAGTCTGTTGAATCTAAAACGGTGTATGGAAACTGATCAGTCTGTTGAATCTAAACGGTGTATGGAAATTGATCAGTCTGTTGAATCTAAAACGGTGTATGGAAATTGACCAGTCCGTGTAATCTAAACGGTGTATGGAAATTGATCAGTCTGTTGAATCTAAAACGGTGTATGGAAATTGATCAGTCTGTTGAATTTAAAACGGTGTATGGAAATTGACCGGTCTGTGTCATCTAAAACGGTGTATGGAAATTGATCAGTCTGTTGAATCTAAAACGGTGTATGGAAATTAATTAGTCTGTTGAATCTAAAACGGTATCTGAAAATTGATCAGTGTGTTGAATCTAAAACGGTGTATGGATATTAACTAGTCTGTTGAATCTAAAACGGTGTATGGAAATTGACCAGCCTGTTGAATCTAAAACGGTGTATGGAAATTAATTAGTCGGCTGAATTTATAACACTGTATAAAATATTTAGGAAAAACTTAAGAAGCGAGATTCGCTGATTAGTTCTTCAGAACATCACACGTTGACATAATTCGAAAGCACTTATATAAAGGACGTACTCTTCATAACTTAAAGTCTACTGCGAAGAAAATATAAACCATACGAGGTACCATTCTGGGTTTACAACAATTATAAATTTGAAAAAAACTCATTATGTAAAAATATCAACGCCCAGCCTATATAGTAATGTTGTACGAAGTTAATGCGAAAATAATTACAGTTATGTCCCAGGAATTTGGATTTTACAATACAAACTAATATTACTGTATTTCTTTTTTTTTTTGCACAAATACTCAGGCACTTGGAGTTAACCGTGTGTACAGCTACGCATGCGTATATAAAGCTTTTCCAGTGAAATATGTTTTTTAATCTTCAGTAACTCATTTATGGATGCATGGTTTAACCTAAGGATAATTTGACAATGTCTGACTCGGTGGGTAATCTGTTGAGCCTAAACTTCTGCATTATTGGATGATAGAAAAGTCAAACACCTTAGTTTTTGTATTTTTTTGCCATCTGAGATGGGTTTTTTTTTCCATATTGTAGATATACATATATATATATATGTTTCTCAGCATTTCCTGAGCCAAGTAGCGGTGAGAAGTTTTGAATATTTTTTGTTAGCGTTCCATTTCGCGTAATACAAGCGTACATGTCATCCATGAATACTTCGATTCGCTGACGTTTCACGCCACTCCTACTCCACACCTCACCGCCATATGGACAATTTAGTAAGAATGTAATGTTCACTTTGGGCATTTTTTCACGATTCTCTGGGTTATAACAAGCACTTCTCATAAAAGCTGAAGAATAACGTGAAGCTTTCAGATATGCTTCTTCATCACTGATGGTCATAAAAACAGTGCTAGGTTTTTCTTAAAAAAAACAAACCCAAAAAACTTGTTCGTTATCCTTATACGTGAAATATTTATACTTATCTTGTCAGCTGGCAATGATGGATTTCTAAGGCACCAAATTGAGCCTAATATCTGTTAAATTATATTTATTAGAACATAACTCCGTTCTTGCTTATCGAAAAAAACAACGAAAAATATTGAAATGAGGGACAAATTTTACCTGAAAAAAAAAAAAAGGAAAAAGAGAAACACTTCAAAAAATATTTTTTCTCGTTCATGTTGGAGTTAAAGGGTACGTTGGAGTAATATAAAATATGTAACTTTAAAAAATGTGATAGTTTAGGAAAATAAGTAATTTTGATTTGCACGTTATATTATCAAAATGATTGGCACTGTTATGTATCACTTGAATAATGGCTGCTGAAGTTAATCTGACAAAAATATCAAGAGGTCAGATTATAACGTTTGAGTACAGTTTACGACACATATTTTGAGTCCTTGCGTGCAGCTGTATTCTTATAGCCACCATGATAATATACATTTTGTTTTCTTGGTTTCAGCTCATTTCACGATATTATAGGTTTAGATGTATACTTCTGAAGTGACAAAAAACAAGTTGGACGCCAGTGATTGGCTATCATAGTGATTCCAAAACAAGAAGGCGTGGCAAGTATATTTTTTGCCTAATAGGAAGAAACAAAGAAAATTAATTTAAATACTTATTCAGGAGAATTACTCGCTAAACATCAGGTACTCGTGAAAACTTATATGTCCTTATATAACTGCATGTTTCCATATTAGGATAGCAATCCTTCAAACAATTAAATATATGATAAAGTAACATAGTATGATGTTTCAAGGAAGGAAAATTTTGTTTGTTTGTTTTTGAATTTCGCGCAAAGCTACACGAGGGCCATCTGAGCTAGCCGTCCCTAATTTAGCAGT